CCACCTTTTATAGTATTTATCTTTGGCCTGAGATGTGGTGGGTGGATTGTCCACATCCTGTTTGGCGGCAACAGGCATGGACAACAATTCTGTTTTTCTGATAGCTTCCTGATGAGACTAATTTGATTTAAGCCATGAAATTGTACTTTCTGGCCACTGTGGATGTGGGAAAGCTGTCAAAACCCACAAACATTCATGTCCTTAAAGTCCAACTTTCTCATTTGGAAGAGGTGGAAAATGTGGGGTTTTTGACTCTTGTTTTTTTAACTATGATAAATTCTTCATCAGGCAGACCCTTTGACCACTGAATACAATATGGATATTAATCATTTTCATTCAATTAAATATCACTAGACATGTATTTCTGGAACATTTTTGTAATGTTGGAACATTCGTGTAATAGCCTTTGAGAAGAAGTGTGCTGTTTTATCTCCTGGGCAAGAATTTACAATTTTGATTCATGATATGAAACATTTTTGTAACTTGATATTCTCATCAATAATGTGAATTTTTTTTGTTTGTTTTTCAAGACAGGATTTCTCTGTGTAACAGCCCTATGTCCTGGAACTAGCTCTGTAGACCAGGCTGGCCTTGAACTCATAGAGATCCACCTGCCTTTGCCTCCTGAGTGCTGAGATTAAAGGTGTGCACCACCACCACCACTACCACCACCACCACCTCCACCCGGCACTGTGAAAATTTTTAGTGATGTAAATTCTCATTGTTTTATGGATCAGTTGTTGATATCATGTCGCGGTAATGGTCATAACGTATTCTAACTTTATATTTTCAATACGTGATATATATTCACATTTATATCTGTTTGTTATTATCTTATTTGACAAATGTGTCTCTTAACCATTTATGCAACTTACAGTCAGTTGTTAATTTTCTCCTGATTCTGTCTGATGATTTCTCTACATTTTCTCCATTCAAACCTTTGGTCAGTAGAAAGATTTGCATATATTTACCAAAATACATCATTCAATATTTATGTTTTTAAAATTATTTTTCAACATTTCAAAGACTTTAAATAAGAAATGGTCACCCAACCCACGGCCACAAAGGCTCTTCATATATTTTCTTCTTGCTTCATTGTGTACCATATATAATTGATTCTTACTACATTTTTAGGTATCTCCATCTTGATTATTGCCTACTTGTGTATTTTTGATTCTCTGTGAAATAACTCAATTCCATGGTACAAGGTTGACTTTACCTACAAATATCAATGTCCTCCACTGATTTTTTGAGAAATCTCTATTTATCTACAGAAATCCAATGTTCTTCAGTTTGAAAATAGTGTTGGATAAAATGCAAAGATAAATCAACCAAGATTAGCCTGCATTTAATACCTTCCAAAGTGGAAAATTACCTAAGACATTACAAGCACTCATTAAAGTCCTTCTGATTTTTCCTTGAGACCCAATAACAACAACACATTAATCCTATTTTCTGAGGGACCCTTCTGGAAAATTCTATATGGCCTTATACAAACTCAGGTTCCTCGTTCCACATTTCCAACAGCTTTATCAAAATGTAAGTTCTTTCTTATTCATTAAGTGCAGTAAATTTTTATCCCCTCTACATGATTAAAGAAAGATGATACTATACAGCCTAATCCAAAGACTTGTAAAAATGAAAACAAATTCTGTCTCTTGTCAGAATATCTATCAATTCTGACAGATCTTAGAAATTATCTGTTTGAAGTTTAATATGGTGTTCATATATATGTATATATATATTTATTTTATATTTTTCATATATGGATTTTTATATATTGATATGTTTTTATGTATAAATATGGATACATTTTATATTGATGTTTATATAATCCAATTTATATATTATGACTATATATACATATATATTTGTCTTCATTTCAAGTAATTTATCAGTTAAGTACCTTAACCACATATTTTATCCATAGCAGAGAAGTGAAGAAAGAATGGAAAATATAAGGACTTCAAATCTACACAGTAAAAATATACAAAATATTGACACAACGGATTGTGTTACTGGAGACATGGCCAAGCTTTGAGCTCTTTAATGTCTGGCCATTGAGTAGAATTTGACTAAATTTTCCACAGCCCACTGACCTTCACCTCCCCAAAAAACAATAAACATGTATTGATGCTTCTCTTCCTTATTTCTGTGCCCTTTTGTATTGGATGCAATGTTTGGATTTGATTTGTTTTGTTTCCTTTCCTTTGATGTAG